GTATGTGGAATGAAGTGGGCGGGCATCGGGAGGCCACTATGGCACGGGGCAAGCACTATGGGCAGTCTATCTGAAGTGTACCTGGCATATAAGACTACCCCCCACTTGGAGGCATATTTTTCAGGGCCAAAAAATCGTTTTATATGCCGGCAAATACGGTAGGTAATTCTGCCTTTGTTTATGGATAAAGCAACTAATCTTAAACTATTCCCAATAATTCAATGTAGCACACCAATTATGAAGTCCTTCTTTCCTTTAATTCTAAAGTGGAGAGATGATGAATACTAAGTTTATTAGCATTATTCAGAAGAAGAATAAATGATAGTGAGACTGGAATCCCTTAGGTAAGCTGCTAAACACAACCATGAGGTGTATCTTAAAGGTGAAGTTGATCCTCCTCACTCTAAGGAAACTTTAAAAAAAATTAATTAAAATAATTTAAAAATTTTTCAATTATAGTTATCATACAATGTTATATTAGTTTCAGGTGTATAATATAGTGATTAGACATTTATTTATATAACTTACAAAGTGATCACCTCAATAAATCTACACCAAACATAGTTATTACAATATTATTGACTATATTCTTTACACTATACTTTACATCTCCGTGACTATTTTGTACCTACCTATCTGTATGTCTTAATCCCTTCACCTTTTTCACCCATCCCCCCAACCCCTTACCATCTGGCAACCATCAGGATGTTCTCTTTAACTATGAGTCTGTTTCTGATTTGTTTTTGTTTGTTCATTTATTTTGTTCTTTAGGTTCCTTATATAAATGAAATCATATGGCATTAGTCCTTTTTTGACTTACTCTACCCAGCACAGTACCCTCTAGGCCCATCCATGTTGTTGCAGAAGGCAAAATTTCATTCTTTTTTATGGCTGAGTAATATTCCATTGTATATATGTACCACCTCTTCTCTATTCATTCATCTATTGATGGACACCCAGGCTGCCCCATATCTTGGCCATTGTAAATAATGCTGCAATGAACATATGGGTGCACATGTCCCCTCGAAGTAGCATTTTGGGTTTCTTTGGATAAATACCCTGAAGTGGGATTACTGGGTCCTTCTTTGTCTCTTGTTATAGCCTTTTATTTAAAGTTTATTTTGTCTGGTATAAGCATTACTACTCCAGCTTTTTTTCTTTTTTTTTCCATTTTCATTAAACATTTTTTTTCATCCCTTTATGTTTAGTCTGTGTGTGTGTCTTTTGATCTGAAGTGAGTCTCTTGTAAGCAGCATATGTAAGGGTTTTGCTTTCTTATCCATTCAGCCACCCTATGTCTTTTAATTGGAGCATTTAATCCATTTACATAGAAAGTAATTATTGATAGATATGTAGTTTTTGTCATTTTATTATTCATATTTTTGATTTCTTTTTGTCCTATGAGTCGTGATATGGCTTCTTCTGTATATTCCTTTGTTACAAGACTTCTGTTCAGCTGGATTTCAGGTGATTCTCAATGATGGTTGTTTTGTAGTTTAGTTGTAATTTTGATGTGGTCATGAGAGCAGGCAAGTACAGCATTTACCTACTCCTCCATCTTGACTGGAAATCCTCACAAGGAATCTTGAATTTATTTTCTCAGTTATGTGGTAGGTAGCTTCAAGCTGTCATTTCCTCCCTTGTGATAACCAAATAGGGTTAGCGTTTATACCTGAGCCCCCTGGATTCAAACTTTCTTAGGCTAACAAGGTGATGAGATCTCAGTTTTAGCTTTACTAATACGAGGGAACTATTGGGTTGTCGGAAAAGTCATGACATATTTTTTCTATGTTTTTCGTTGCAAAAATGCATCATGACTTTTCCAACAACCCAATAATAAGCTCTATGGCTATAGAACTAGGACTCCTGGCCCTGTCCTAAATTAGTCATAATTTTTTAACTTCCTTAATAGAGATGGAAGAAAGGACATATGTTGCTGACAGAAGAAATGTCAATCTCTTTTGCTGATATGCAATTTCACAGGGCCTGGGAGCACTATTGTTGCCAATGTTGAGGGACCTGTCACATATTCAGATGATTTTACCAAAAAAAAAAAAAAACCACCAAAAAACCGAGTGGATATGATTATGCTAAGACTTATAAAAAGTCACCACTTATTTCATATTAGATTTTAAGATTGAAAAATTTAAATTTGCCTGACCTGGAAACCATATATATATGCCCTACCCTCATTTTAAACCTGAAAATACATAACTAGAAGAGAATGTTCTGTATTATTTTCTGAGATAGTCAGTTTTCCTGATGAACCCATAAGTGACTACAAGAAAGGCAGGGCTCAATGTGCCCATTTTAGGATGTCCATTTTACATGGGGCTGGAGATTCTCTGACTGACCCTTCAAGCCTCACTCCAGCTCCTTTAAATGGGTTCTGCTTTTTGCTGCACTTCTGAAACAAAAAAGTTAGGAGTTTATGCCACCCAATCCAACATGGTGCCCTCGTGTTCTTCCTTGATTCATTGGCTTACACAGCACCCTTCAGTGAGGGTAGCCAAGGGCTGGTCTTACAGCTTCTAAATTATTAGCTCCTTGAGGGCTGGGTGTGTTAGAGTGCTTACTCCAGAGTAATTTTTGTGTTTGTATATGAAACCAGAACACAAATATTTGTTAAGCATATGAAGTTCATGAAGAGGAAGAAAGGAATCAAATGATCCCCTGAAATGGGTTTACACTGCCTACTGTTTTTCACTTAATAGATAGTACTAGCATTATGAATAGGAAGTAAAGCAGACGGGATTTGAAGAATGGTGGGAATCCACACATTCCACCCACCTCTTTTCCATTCCAATTTCAACTACTGATGCCTGAAATTCATTTTTAAAATTTAAATACCACCACTGTTTATCATTTAAATTTCATTATAAATTAATTATTATCCAACTTTCAGCATGAGAGTGACTAAGCATAGCTTTGGTCTTCTCAAAAGATAACTGTGATTTTCCTGAATAGAAGTTCTATATTTATAATGAAAGACATTATTAGTTCATATGTTGTTTCTGTGCTGATTTTTCTACATCCAGAAGATTATGCCTGGTTGTGGGGGTGGGGGGTGAGGGGGAGTGGAGGTGGACTCAGAACATTTTAGTAAAGTAAAGCTTCTAAAACAGAGGGTCCCAGTTAACAGAGGTACTTGACATCCCATACAATGAAGAACAGTTATAGAAGGAACAGTTGCTCAGCCTAAAGAAGAAAGAACATAGGTAGAAACATAACAACACAATGGATCTCTTGCAAGGTGAGCATGTAGGAAAGAGATTGGACTTTTTTGGGGGGGTTGATTTCCAGGTGGTAGAACTAGGATCAACAGGTGGAAGCAATAAGAAGAGACACATTTTTTGTCCCAGTAGGAGCTTAATACAAGGAAGGGCTCCTAATAGAACTACCTAGAGATAGAATGGGCTCTCTTGAAAAGTAGTGAGTGCCCATTTATTAGGTATGTGGTGCAGTGATCTGGATGGCCACTTGTCATGGATGCCAGGAATAGGGTATATATAGTAATGGATGGACTTGCTAACCCTGAAGGTTGGTCTCTTTTAACCCTCAGATGGTGTTATTCCAAGAAAAAGAACAAGGGGACATGGGAAAGTGCTTTCCTGAAGTGACAAAGTCTGTCTTACTTTAAACTTTTGCCTAAAGTAGAGCACCGCTTCTCTGGAGGACAGAAATCTTATAAGTAACACAGAAGGTCTTCATTTTAAAAATGATGGAAGAAAATATTAGAAAGAGGTGTAAAGCAGGAGGGAAGAGAGACAGCTGGGAGAACCATAAGGATTTAATCTGAAAAGATCTGGGAGGTCCAGAGCCCTCTGCTTCATGTTGGCAATGCTTCCTTGATGTGTCTTCCTTCCCTTCTCCCTGCTCAGTTCCTTTCATGTGCAATTACCCTCCCCCTGCACCCCCCACCCCCGCACCCACCCCCTTAGTCATCCCACCATCCTGAACTTTCTGACAGTGAATCAACAGCAGTAACTGGAAATTCTCAAGGACGATAGGTAGTCTCTGTTGGCCAATGGGTTACTAGATCCACTTCCTTGCAATGTATTCACAGATATTCATGCAATTGTGGACATCTACGGAATAGTCAGGCCAGCACCTCTTCTGTTGAGAACTGCCCCACCCAGTTTTTTTAAGCCACTGGAACCGACATATCAGTATCATGATACTGCTTACAGGCAACAGTTGATTGGTCATGTCACCAAATGGATCCAAATGGTATTGTATCTCTTTGCCCCAGTTAATCTGACCCAAACTAGTCCTAGCAGAGTTTTTCTCCAGGGTTTTGGAATTAGAACTGAGAAGGTCAGTCTTATTCTCTGTGGTTGAAGGTCTCACATCTAAAGCTGGAAATTGGAGGAAGTCAATGTGCACTGCTAAGAAAGGAGGAAGCTACCTTTCAGGGAAACACAGATGAAGAGAAACTGGTATTGTGAATGTGACTCTGCTGCCAGGGTTTCTGTAAGACTAGTTATATCTCAACCCTTCTTGAATATTGGTGTTTTCCTTTATTTTTGATTCTTTGAGACACTGAGTAATGTTTATACTACATTCCTTTTTGTTTTCACTTAAATAAGTTTGAGTTGGGCTTATCACT